AGAAATGTATTAATATCATTTAAGTATGATTAATTTTTTTGATTATTTTTTTTAAACTTTTTCATGTTGATATATTATATCACATTAGTATTATAACTATTTATGAGTCAAGATTAATATATTTCAAAATTTATAATGAACTTTCTCACAATTTAAACATTTATGCTCGAGTTATTTTATACTCGATGCATCAAAGTTAGCTGTTACATTTTTTCTTTCAGCGTTATATTTTATAAATTACATTTTGAAATACTACCAACTATAGTTTTCTTACGGAACTTTCTTGTAGACGCCATAATTTCAATAACTATAAATACGACGACATTTCGAAACTTTCAAAAACTTTGTTTTGCCATTACTGTAAAAGTTTTATACCAACTGTAACCTGTGGACTTCTTCGTAACGCTCGTATATAATTAATTATTTTGCGCTCAAAAACGAGTTTGTACTATTAATCTATTGATTTAGACCAGTGATTCCCAAAGTGGTCCACATGGACCCCCAGGGGTCCATGTCAACTTTCAAGAGGTCCACGGCGGCAAAAACGAAATTTGGGGGTCCACGGCAGTGGATTACAATAAATACACCATGATAAAATCTATTTATTTACGTTAAACGATAATATAATACAAAGATTTACAATAAATCTTTTGATATAGTTGGCAATATTTAGAAATGATTCAAGAAGAAAAGAAAAAATACATATTTATATAAAGTGTGTAAGTTGTAGCATGTAGGCATTCGAGTTGTGGTTAAACTATATGCTGGCTGTTGAAAAGCTTAAGTTTGGTAAGATTTTTGCCCTTAGAATTTATAAATACCAAATATAGGGGTTTAAATGGCAATTTAACGAAGTGTGACATAGATACCACTTATTTGGATTCGATAAACAAAATTTTATTTGAATTTTAGTCCCTTCAGCAACGGATTTGGACTCAAGTGTTTTGAACTAAACTTTTAGATATTTAAATTACACAGGTAATTTTGTGCTTTGGTGGACAGTAAATTACAGATATAATTAACTTCCCGTAGGGTAAGTTATAGTAATCGCAAAAAAATCAAAAATGAAAATTTTTATATATCTTTACGTTTCAGAGGTTTCTGAATATTTTGGCATACCTTAGAAAAAAATGGATGTATGTGTGTGTGTGTGTGTGTGTGTGTATGTATGTATGTATGTATGTATGTATGTATGTATGTATGTATGTACGTGTGTGTATGTATGTGCGGATACAAATTTTCGTCGACGATTTCGGGAACACGAATCAACCGATTTGAATAATTCAAAAAACATTCGATTCGTATTGATAAGGAGACGTGCTGATTAGTTTTTGGCGAAGGCAGGTCCAGCCGTTCCGAAGATACGGGGCAAAAAGTGCCGAAAACGGTAACTCAGTTTTTAAGAGAACGGAGCGTTCGATTTGAATAATTCAAAAAACATTTCACTTGTATTGACAAGATGAAGAATTGATACAATTTTCATGATGGTAGGTCTAGCGGTTTCGGAGATATGGAGGAAAAAGTAAAAAAATGAGCCATTTGACGGTCAACAATGATCATTAGACATATGCACATCAAATTATCAGATATTTTATAGAGATTTTAACAATCAGTATACATTTTGTTAACATTCCTATGGGTCCGTACCAATGCTTATGCGTTAGACAGTGACGCGGCGCTTACGCGCTTTATATTTTGTCTCTATGCAGTTAAAGCAGTACAATTGCTTTGAAAAAAAATTCAGATCTTCCACAATATGTCAAAATAAAGAAAAAAAAATTTTTTTCAAAAAAAAAAAAAAATTAAAATATTTTTTTTTTTTTTTCAAAAAAAAGTAATTTTTTGTCCAATTTATAGTTACTCAAAAATCTTATTTTTTCAAAGCAAATTTTTTTCAAAAATGTTAATCGTTTTTTAAAAAAAAATTTTTTGGTACGGGAAGTTCCAGCAATTTGCCTTAAGGCACGATGCCTTAATTGCCTTAAGACAGAATTCCACTTACAGCTAGTTTATTTCTGGGTTGGTTATTGAAGAAAGTTGCTTATATGAAATGTTTACTGGGTTTGGTAGTGCTTAATGATGTTTCTGATTATTATAGCAGTTCTACCATCAGTTGTTCCACGTGGATTAATGTTGTAACTGGTTGCATGGCATCGTACCTTAAGGCAAATTGCTGGAACTTCCCGTACCGTGAATTAAATTTTTTAAAAAACTTTGAAATTTTTTTGAAAACATTAAAAAATAGATTTTTGAGAATTTTAAAATTTCGGAAAAAATTTGACTTTTTTGAAAAATTTGATTTTTTTTATATATCGATTTTTTTATATGTACTTTTAATTTTTCTGAAAATTTGAACTTTTTTTTAAAGCAATCGTGTTGCGTTGCTTTTAGAGATAAAATATCGAAGCGCGTAAGCGCCGCATCGCAGTCCAACGGACGACATTGATACGGAACCCATAGAAATGTCAACAAAAATTTATACTTATTATTAAAATCTCTATAAAATGTCTGATAATTTGATATGCATTTGTCTAATGATCATTTTTGACCGCCAAATGGCATTTTTTTTACTTTTTTCATTCGATCTATGAAACCGCTAGACCTGCCTTCGAAAAATTATTACACTATATATAAAAATGTTCATTTTCGATTTTTTTGCGATTACTATATTTTACCCTACGGGGAGTTAAAAATCAAATTTGCTTATTTAAAAAAAGTCTAAGTTAGTAAAGCGTATTTTCTAAAATAACATATGATCGATTCGATGATGTATTAAAAATAAATATAAAGCCGCTATTCATTACTTAAGTTTTGAAACTACACTCATTAATATATTTATCTTAGCAAAGTCCATTTTAAATTCATTTTGTTGCTTGATATATTAAGTTGAGCATAGGACGATCTGTTAATAGTATCACAAATAACAAATATATGTTACGTCAAAAAATAAAATAAAATAATAAAGTAAAATCATCAAAATCGGAAACAAAAAATTTTCATCCAAAATCGGAATACAATTCTTGACCCTAGGGTCATGCTATAATTTCAGTTTTTTCTTCTTTATTCGGCAAACGTTGAGAATATTAAAATGCAGTTCTTTTCATGTTATTTTAGCCCACAAGACAATTCACCTGACGTTTAATTGAAGCTTCTACGTGCCCGGAAAGTCTATGAAAAATTAAAAAAACTAACTAATTTTTCATCCATTTTTGGGCATTTTTACTCATGAAATCTTTAATCGATTATAACTTTTGAACAACTCATCATAGAACATTGATGATTTCAGGTGAAATATTCTAAATCAAGAGATCTTTTACCTAGTATAAAATTCTACATAGTATGAAATTTTTCAAAATACCTCTTGCCGTTCGCAAGATATACCCCAAAAACAGTTTCAAATTTTCAACTTTGAAACAGTTAAACGCCTATATCTCAAAAAATATTATACATAGGGTTATAAAAATATGTATCTGCAGGTGTAAAAATTTTTATGATAACTCCAACCGTTTCCGAGATATTCGCTAAAACCCAATCGCTCCTTGTCACATATTAAAAATGCGTTTTTCTCGAAAACTATTTGAAGTGCGACCGAAATTTTTTAATAGCATTTTCCTTATGTCATAAGGTATCAACATTATGAAAATCATCAAAATCGGAAACAAAAAATTTTCATCCAAAATCGGAATACAATACGTGACCCTAAGGGTCATGCTTAATTTCAGTTTTTTCTTATTTATTCGGCAACCATTGAGAATATTAAAATGCAGTTTTTTTCACGTTTTTCTAGCCCACAAGACAGTTCACCTGACGTTTGATTGAAGCTTCTACGTATCCGGGAAGTCTGTGAAAATTGAAAAAACTAACAAATTTTTCGTCCATTTTGAGCATTTTTTACTCATGAAATCTTTAAGCGCTCAAACTTTTGAACGATTCATCAGGATATTGATGTACCAGGCGAAATATTCTAAATCAAAAGATCTTTAACCCAGTGTAAAAAGTTTTAAGATACCTCTTACCAGGGCCGGCTTTAACACTACCAGCGCCCTGGGCGAGGTTTCTACGGCGCCCTCCACCTGCAATTTAAACCCATTTGGAAAAAAGAAAAACATCTAATGAAATAACCGTCATTTAAAAAAAAAAATTATTATAAAAGATAACCATTTATTACATAAACACTAATAGAATTTTACTTTTCTGGCCTTTCTATCAGCGAATTTTTTTATAAGATTGTCGAAGTCGATTTTTTCAGCAATTTCGTTTTCAATTGACAAAGTTGCTAAGTTTGTCAATCTAGATTGAGAAATCGCTGATCAAAGATAGGTTTTTATCAGCTTCAGCTTCGAAAAGCTCCGCTCCCCACTAGCAACCGTTACAGGTATAGTTAATAAAATTCGCAATGATATCCATACATTGGGATACAGTTCTTGTAAGTTGAAATCGTTGATGAAATTTAAAACAAAAATTGGAGTAACCACATTTTTATTAGGTAAAAAGGATGCCAGACTTATAAGTTCATCACACAACATACAACCATGTATGTCTGATTTAGAGTCATTGATTGAAATTAATATAGTGTCCAAAAGACAGTTGAAAAATTCAACCTCATTTTTTGGAGAAGTTATATGGTCATTGCGTGCAATTTCACCAGCTTGACGCATAATACGTCGAATTTTTTTGTAGCTCAAATTCAGATTTAATTTCTATTCTTTGGCCAATCCCTTCGCAGTTAAAATAGCGCTTTTAAAGCCCGTATTTCTGTAGTCTTCCAAAAAATTTCAGCATTTTTCAACATTTGTGTACATTTACAAGATCCATATCTGTTGACTGTAGAGATTTACTTACAACATTTATTTGATGAAGTATGTGATACCAACAACCAATGAAACTATGAAGCTGAAATCTTTAGTGGTTCGGCTAGAGTAGTAGCCTCTGAAACATTTGAACATCAGTTTTCTGAGTTTTAAGAGCCAAATAATCAAAGCATCATGGATAGTACTAACTTGATAACGGACTGCTTTAACACTACTTATTCTTGCTTCCCAATGAGTGTCACTGTGCTTTTTTATAGTATATAGTCCCAAGTGATCGGTTAGAATTTTCCATCGATGAACAGAAGCTGAGTGGTCTGAAATATCACCCTTCATAGCTAATCGCAAGTGCTCCTGCATGACTAGATCAAATTTGGCTAGTAGTTGTACTAAGCCTAAGAACTTTTCATTATTTGGCGTATATAGTTAGTCAGAAGTGCCTCTGAACGCCATATTGTTTTCGGCTAAATAAAGTGTAATATGCAAAAATCTAGACAAAACATTATTCCATCTTGTAGTTTCCTTTCTAATCAAGTGTTGCTCTTGGCAGTCTATTGTTTTTCCTATTTTTAATCGTAGTTCAGCTTCAATTCATGAAAGGTAAAACTTCTTATGAAAAGTGCTATTTTCATAATTTTTTAATATTTCAGTCAAGTATTTCCAGTTGTTATACCCTTCAGATACTAAATTCGACGTTGAGCTACTATCAAATAGTCTACAACAAAAACAATAAACTCGATCCTTAGAAACGGAGTAAATTAACCAACGGCGCTGAATTGTTTCATTGTTTGCAAGATTTTTTGTGAAATGAGATTTAGAGAAATGTCGGCCTGTATCATTCTTCGGATGAAAATCAATGTGAGTTTGCACTGGGCCACTAGTACAGGCCACTAGTGATCAATAATTTTGCCATTTCGAGTGACTGACCAAGTGGCCAAGTTCGCTGGCCAATGCGAATGAGC